TTAAGGGACGAGACATAAGCAATATTCTCTTTTATTTCAATGAAAAATAAGCGATCTACAAGACGTCCAATCATGACAAAATCATTCCCCTTCTTGACCACCACCTTCTCCCCAATGAAAGTGGTTATGAATCCAATCATAGATATCTTAAGAACTGAAACTAAACACTTCCTCATTGCATGAGCAAAAAGTGTTTGCTTTAGGATCAATGTGCTCCCACCCTTTAATTTCTGCTCGAAATCTCCAACTCCAAGTACATGAGTTTTCTGATTACCTCCCATATAAATATATTGTTGTCCTGGTCTCATGGCAGTAAAAGAACGGAAACCTTCCATGGGGTTTGTGACATGAATACCAAGAAGCTCCCTTGGGGTCAGTTAGCAAAGTCTCAAATACCATACAAGTCAGTTCTTTGTTGGTCCCTCCAAATTTATTGAACCGACAATTATTGGCTATGTAGCCCACCTTCTTACAGAAAAAGCAAGTCATAGTTTCTCTTTTTCCTCATTTATTACCGAAGTATCTCTTTCTAAAATATTTTCTCTTTCCAAAATGTTTTCTACCTTTTCCTTTCTTAGGTTTAAGAGAGGGTGGAGATCTTACAATGTGTACGGCTTCCCTTGGAGGTGTTGTCAGTGCTTGCCTTGAGTTCCTCCTTTCCTCTTCTACTTTGATCGTCGTGATGAGCTCCTCCAGCTTTAGAGCCTTTCTTCTAACCGAGAGGGAAGATACAAAAGTTTCCCATAAATTAGGAAGTGATTCATGAGATGAATCACTTGTCAGTAGGTTTTATGTCGGTGTCTTCTAACTCTCTGACTAGTGCACGAAAGATGTGCACATGATCTGCAAACTTGGTACTTTTTGCCATTTTTAACTCATTATACATTATCATAGCCATGGTTTGCTTCATGAGAGAGGGTTCAATATACCACCTCTCAAGTTTTTCAAAGATTCCACTTGTATTATAAATGGACTCGTACTCGGAAGCATACAAGTTGGTCATAACACATAAAAGAATGTGCTTGCATCTCAAGTTCATGATCTGCGAATTGACATACTCATCTTTAGTTTCTTGAGATGAGTCGTCAGTTGAACGATGAGGATGATGTTCACAGAGTATCTCATACAAGTTGAACATACCGAATCTTTCTTTTTCAAGAAGCATAATTGGTCTCATCAAACCTTTCGGTTTTTAGGATCTCTGAGATGAAGGTACGAGTAGCCATATCCTTTTAATTCTCAAACAAAAAATTGGAAAAGACTCCTAATGGCAATCAAGTAACTAAGCTCTGAAACCAATGAAAGAAAGACCTATGTGATCTTTTACCGGAGAATAATATATATATATTTTTATGTCACCCCTTTTATTTTGACAAAAGAACACTTACAGGTGGTGTTATTACAATAACATGAACTTCAAAATTAATCAACATAACAATAAAACCAAGATATTAATACTTGATGCTATTGAAACAATTATACACTATGCTTGAGAATAAAAGATAAGATTGCAAGAAATAAAAGAAAAAATGCCGGAGATTACCTCAACCGGGCTTATTACACCGCACACCGAGTCACCACCATCCGATGGGGCGGGATCAACGGTTTAGATTCAATCTCAAACCGGGAAAGTAAATTTCAGCTAAACTATTTCAGAGAACCCTTTTTGTAACTCTTCAAGCCTAGATCCTAACCCCAAAATATTTTGACATACTTCCCAACCCTTACCATATAAGATGAGAGAGAGTGGGATAGACCTTAGGGTTGGGGCATGCCCCTGCTATGACTAAGAGAGAGAAGATCTAAAGAGAGAGAGTGAGAGGAGAGAGAGTGGGGTGTGCCTCTTAGAGGAAGGAGAGAGAGTTGTGAGAGAGAGAAGAGCGAAGGTATAGAGAATAGGGGGTACACCCCTATTTATAGTGAAAAATTTGGTCTAGGGCTTTACATAGTTTGCCTCTTAAGTGATATTGAACATAAATTATCAATCAAGGGTGATTTGTGGGATGAGAAATTTGAGTCATCCATTTTATAGATGGGCCATCAACATTATAGAAGGTGCATGAACCCTCATCCCCTTTTTTTAAATCATTTTCCCATCAATAGAAAATAGGTCAAATCAATTTAAATTAAATATTGTACATTCCATAAAATAGCACAATCCTACTCATATTTTCCATAAGAATCTTTCAAAATATATCAAGTTAATATTTGCTTCAATATTTACTCAATATATGGTCAATATATATCCAAGTCATGTTTGACCGCACGACATAATTCAATGTTACCAAATCTTAACAAAAGGAATCCAAAGGCATGGGGCGTGCTACCCATGGGAGGCTCATAAGGGCCCCACCTTCTAGAAGCATGGTAGGCCCATGTGCACAATAGGCCCCCCATGATATATTTTTATGATTTAAAAATCAATAAAATAATATTTAGTATATTATTGAAATATTTATACTCTTGTAAAATCAATATCTTTAATTTTATAAATCTAAAAATTATAAATAAAATATCCAGTGGTTCATAAAAATTCAAATAATAATTCTAAAATAATTTCTATCATAAAACAAACATAATTAAAATAATTTGATGGGAAAAAGATGCGTACGGTTTAGGAATTGAATCAACAATCATGAGACACTCCACCTTTAACTGTAGACTACAGACCACACTTGTTTTATTAGACCGATCCAGTATTTTTCATGACCCACAATCTAAGCACGAGCTCATTAGTGAATCACCAAAGTCTTACCAATGAGCCAAGGGGTCACAATCTCAATATGTGGATTACAAGTCCTCCCCTATAAAGGAGTCAAGGTCACTTAGACCCGATGCGATCACAACTCTGTGGCGCATAAGGGTATCTCTCGCACATGCATACGCTTTACCCTAAAAGGTGACTTACTTGTTTTTCCAAATGATTTATCGATATGCATGCTGTGTGACGGTATATGTATGAGGCTTTGACCCCCATCTCTGTAGGTCACCATTACACACAAGGGTCACACAGTTCTTCGGCTCACTCATTCGGGCATATGCTCCGACCTCTTCAAGGGATGACCCATTAGAACCTTTCTCGATTTATTCTCTATGCCCAAGTAATATGGGTTTTTTCCAACCGACTGGTCTAGATCATTAAGCACAGATCGATATATGTAAATATTGTTTGTATAGTAAGGTCCATGAAGAATCACATTTCGACTTAGTTTATGTTCCACTATATAAAATGTTTTTATTACAAGCACTCATAAAACTTTTAAAGACCACATAAACCCAACAAACAGGACCTGACAAGACATGAACATAGTCCATGTGCATGAGGTGGTAGATTGTACACCTAGTTGAGCATGTGTATTAACCATAATTGTCAAGTGAAGTATTTGAATTCAACTTGTGTAACCGTTCCCAAATAAGGGTTTGTGTAATGGGTATAAGCCTTATGAGAGGAAGCAAGAGGGCATTTAGTGGGCCTGCGTGGACTTTGCGAATCATGTAAAATTCATGCATGTTGGGACATGGATAGTACTTAGCCATGGAGTCAGTTGATTAGACGCTTTACCCTCCTTAATGACCTATGTAGTTAATCATTGATGGGGCCAAGGGCTGGTGCAACGGCTATGCAAATTGGTTGGCAGTAACAGGACTTGACTTTATAAATGAGGGTGAGTTTCTAAGTGCATACTTAGGTTTGTACAAACCCGTAGCAAAGAAACATTACATCCTAGGCTCAATTTCTATACCCTATCATGGATAGAGACCTCTCCCTCCATTGACTCGAATAAAAATAAAAAATAAAAAATAAAAAAATAAAAAGAAAGAAGAAAATAAAAGAGGAAAACAACCACGAGGAGCATTCAGAACTGCATACAAGCTAGTGTACAGAGGTAATTGAAGTGACATCTATTCATTTTCTATTAATTTTATGCGCCTTGCGTCATTGCTGACTCCATTCCTCTTGTATGTGCTTGTAGAAGGCTTGCCTCACCTTAGTATGAATCCCATTTTTGCTTGGGGCTATGTGAAAAATTAGGCCCCCTTACACCTGGAAATGTCCAAACATGTATTCATTTCATATAGCCAAAAGATGTCATGTTCCTACGAGAGAATACTATCTATTTACTCCCTCAAGTAAAACCCAATACTAATTTAACCATCCCATATTTTGGTGAGGAAACATTGTCAAACCATAGACTAACTTCAAAACAGAAAATTCCAAATTGTATGCTCTATGCATTTGAAAAAAAAACATGTCTCAAAATTGAAACGAGACTGTCCAATTTTTAAGTGTATAAAACTCAAAATTCAAATTTTCTCTTTTTTAAAAATAATTTTTAAGTAATTCCTAAAAGGGAAAATAAGGGTTTGCCTTTACCTTATTTCGAAAAGATATTAAACGTTTTGAAGTGTCAAGCATTTGCTAAGACAATTTACACGTAGAAACCTTGTATGGAGATTGATCAAAAGATGTCAAAAAGTATATCCGATCTCACCGAAATAGCCTCCCCATTGTGGAACCCTTTTTGCCCCAAAAAAATATTATTCTCATGTCTATTTACTCCCTCGTGTAAAACCTAATCAGAGTGAACTTTAGAATATCAAATTTTGGGAATATAATCTATTCAACTCGTCAACTAATCTGGATAGAATTTTTTTTGAAACTGCACTCTCTATGGGCTTGGTAAAAATAATGTCATTGAATAGAGAGTCCAATTTTCAGAGTGCGAGATCTAAATGTTATTCAAATCTTTTCTTTTGAAAACAATCCCTAGTGATTCTTAGGTAGTTCCCAAAATTTCAAATTGAAGAGATTCTCCCAAGTGGGTGTCCTAACCGAGGGAGTAGATGTACACTATGCTCCCACGGGTCCAAATTCGAGAAATACTTGTACTAATAAAAAACACGGCATAGATCGTCCCATTTTTGTCGTGTAAAAAATTTCAATAAATGTGAGTTCAGTGTTTTTGCTTATGACGAAAACTAATCCTTGGTTTTTGCAGGGAGTTAGAGAGGGAGGAGGAGAAAGTAATGGACAATGGTATAAGGTATTGGGAGATGAGGGTAGGGGGAGGGGCCATGCCTAAGACGGGGGATCTAGTGGTAATAGACATGGTTGGAAGAATTCAGGGCACAAAAACTGTGTTTGTTGACACATTTGCATCCAAGAAGCCCATAGCTTTGATCATGGGTTCGAGACCCTACAATAAGGGCGTGTCTGAAGGGCTTGAGTCGGTGCTGCGAACAATGAGGAGTGGTGGAAAGAGAAGGGTTGTCATCCCTCCGAACCTTGGCTTTGGGGAGCAAGGTGCAGACCTAGGCTCAGGTGTGCAAATACCCCCTTCGGTTACACTTGAATATACTGTGGAGCTTGATAAAGTTTCCATTGCACCAGCTTGAGAAAGGTGCTTTTGCCCTGGAATAGGTGGAGTTTGAGAAGGCACTGCTTTGGAAACAATAGAATTCCGACCTTATGCTTGAGTTAATAATGAGACATCTTGAGTTTCATTCCTACCGTGTGTAGGAGACCTCTTCCTTGTTGAGCTACCATAAAAACAAAGGATAGTGGGTGTGCTTTTAAGTTTATTGTCAATGTAAAATCCATATCACCAAGCAATAATATTTCACATCACCAAGCAATAATATTTGCTCACTCTGCCATCAAAATTTCACAATAAGGTAAGATATGTTTACTGAACTGGAGCTATTTCGCTCGAAACTTAAACATTAGACTATAATGAAGTCAAGAAGCCTGCTCCCAAATGACCAAACAAACAAAACGTCAACAGTTTTTGTTTCCATGGCCAATTTCTTTACACTAACAACCGTAAAATACAAATGGTAATTGGGATGCATAGAAACTATGGCCCCATGTAACGAGTGTGATTTTCTTGCCTCTCCCCAACTGGTGGTCAATAGCCATTTGCACTGTCCAAGTAAATGACGGGTGGAGATTCATCCCAAATTTGAGTGAGGGGAAACTGGCATTGGTAGCCCGTGTTCTCAGACTCTCAATGAAGGGATGAATATGTATGTGTTGCACATATTTTTCTGCACCATAAAGCCCATTTCAAACCAGAGGGCAGGTACACAGAAAATGGCTAAAGGGCTACTTTATCAAGCCTCATTAGTAAGTTTTGGCAATCGTTCATGCACAATTTGTCCTTGACCACCCTAAGCTAGATCAGCCTAGGGGTGCGATAGAACGGACTAGGTAACTTTGATCCAATAAAAGGCTCGAAATTCACCCGATAAGGGGAGTTTTAAAGCGATTCTTATGCCAAAATGAGCTAAGATCAAGGCCTATCGCTTTCTGGTCATGAGGAGTCAAGAAACCGGTAAAAACCACCAGAAAATAAAGATCAAGTGTATTTTGGATTCAAGAAGACATAAAGGTCAAGAACTTCATCGATTCTCAGATTTTTTAGATTAATGTTTTGCAAAACGACTGTAGAAGCCGGATCCACAGATCGGCCATTTGGTACAAAAAGCAAATGAATAAGACCCTTGTACCATAGGCATGGGATGGGGAATCCCTTGTGAGGAAGTAGGGTGAAATTTTGTACATTGTGGATTGTGGATTGTCATTTTTTGAGTTTGGGCAGAACACAGAACTGATTATCCACCCATCTTTCTTACAAAAAGTTAATAATCTACACCACCATATAAAAGGTGAAGCATCCCATTTTTAAATGAGGAGAACATCGGTGCAGTTTTGCAACCTGAGTTCGGGAGAGGGAGAGGAGCCTAGATGAGAAACCCTAACACTAAGTGTAGCTTTGGTTAGTTCTCTACACCCAAACCCTAAACCTAGTCAAACAAACTACCTAAAACTAACCCTCACAAAAAATGTGCAAGATCACCTAACCTGAAAACCCTCTAAAATCTTAGGATATTAGGGTACCGAGTTGAGAGAGAGGGATGAGTGTTCCGTTCTATTCTTTAAAAATTCACACAAAAAAAAATGATGTATTCTATGCATCTCTAATGGAAAAATGCCCAATTATATAGAGCTCTAAGATGCCACGTATTTACTGTTTAAGTGGTTACATGCACCATCAAGATCACCACCCTTAATATTGACGATGTTGTTCATCTCTTCAACAACTAATTATCATTGAATGTCCTACACGTGTCATGATCGCAAGCGCCATGATCGCAAAGCACTACCATTAATTATAGTATCACTACTCACATGGGTGTGGGATAAGAGGGTCTCATAGTGTCATTACTATATATATATATATATATATATATAAGTAA